GCAACACAATAATAGTCCAGAAGCTAGCAAATTATTTTAACTAATTTTCCCAGTCTTTTAGTGAAAAAAATTAAGAAATTTTGAGTTGATTTAATAAAATAGATCATAAACTTTTTTGCACATTTTGAGAACTCTGATCAAGAAGTTCTTTAGTGTAAAAGTGATCACTTTTATGACTGAATGTGACAAGTTTAAGTTTTACTTTTCAGTCGATTTTTGCGCCTAAGCGTTTTTACTTTTACTACGATATTATTGGCTTTTAGCAATGTTGTTTCTTGTTTCTTTCGCTGCTTCAGCAATTTTTGGAGACACCGTTTAGATCATCAACATTTGATATTTTGTCCTACTAACTGCACTAGTTTCGAAAATTTCAATACAAATTCCGATGTAGAAACGTTGTTATTTATTTTGTTATTTTGTTCATTTACGTGCTAATTAAGTGTTGCTCTTTACTCTCGTTTTGAATACGTTTGCGGATAAAATAGTATTTGTGTTCGGAGTAAAAGTAAGTTTACGTTACAGAAACATTGTCACAAAAACTATCACTTTTACTCCTAATAACATAATAAATTATTGCTTAAACTCACTAGCTCTTGCGATTTAAAAGTTCAATGTTTGATTTTTGTGTCATATATAAGCTATTGTGTTGCATATTTCTTTGGTTTATTAGATCATAGTAAAATATGCGGAAGTTTGCATCAAAAGCATCATCTGTTGATTTTTAAAAGTGGATCGCGTGGCCGTAATTGCGTTTATTGTAAATAAATGGGCGTCACATTTGCGCAAAATAAATTAATCGAGTTAATGGCATTTTATTAAATAAAATGACACTGATTACGAGTTCAGCAAACCTAAACTGAATCATGAAATTAATTTCGTTGACTTGAATAGAGTTCGCATCCGGTGCTATTTTCTTTCAGTTAAACACAGCAATTGGTATTGTCGTGATGAACACAGGTGGTGATTTCACCGACAAATATTTTCTGTAATAATGATTGTAATAATCTTGCGAAATGTGAGTAGGGCAAAATTAGAGTCTGTTTAATACGTTTTATGCGTCGGTGGCGAGCCTTGGGCCAAAAACGACGGTTAACACAGTAGCTCTATAATCATTATACAAGGTGCGCCAGAACTCGCGCCCCAGAGAAAAAATGGAAAAATTCTATCTATAAAAATTTTCCAGTTATGAGAGTTTAAAGTTTGTGCTTTGACTCGTTTTATTTCTGTTGGAAAAATATTTTGCCAAGTTTTCCAAGCTACAAAGGAAACTGTAATTAGTGGAATATGAAAATTTTCAGGAAATTAAATGTGACAATTATTGACATATTTAATCAAATATTCATCTGTCACACAACCAATCAAATATTCATCTGTCACAACCAATTATTTATTTATTTATTACGTTATTGTATTACCTGGAAGTACACTTCTCCAAAAGATTATGAATTTGCAAGAAGTTAGTTTTTAAAAGCTCCACTAAACAGATATATGGGAAATTCTCAAGGGGTTTTCTCAAAGCAAAAAAATATTAGGAATAATAGAGAACTAATCAACAGAGAATAAAATTATTCCTTGTGTTTTTTATTCAAAGTATTGATGAAATAATAGAGAGTTATTGTAATTTTCTCGTAAATTGGTAAAAATTAAAAATAACTATCTAACCCAAATGTAAATATTTATTTTTTTAATAAATAAATTTATATTTGCTTATAAAACGTTATAATTTTTGATGTTTATGTGTGTGTGTCTATAAACAGCATATCTCGAGAACGAGCTAAAAAATTTGGTATGTGAGTTACTTGTAGGAAGAGGACGCAGTACGAAACAATTGGTAAAAATCGGTTCGGCCGCAAGGACCAAAAGTCATGGGGATACAAATTATTTAGAATCATGAAATATACTTTATTAAACAGTAAAATGTGATAATAATGGGTACCGAACTAAAAAAAAAACTGCGCCCCAGACTCGAACCCGCGACAACGCACTAACGCATTTTTTCCCAAATAAGTAGGATAAGGAAAATCGTGTGATGTTCACACCAGATTTTTTTGACATTTTTTTGGCAAATATCGCAATCGTGGTAGCAAGTTTGGTAAAAAATAAGCACTTGTTGAATGTTGCATGACTCGATGGGTGGCTTTCGTAAGTTATGACCTTTATGAGGTCTTCTCGCAGCCTCCGGTGAGCAGTTACGTGCTCTTGTATTCCCTTATCTTTCCGTCATTAGCATTGAATTCCGGGCTGTTTTTGAAAGCTTTCTAGTCCATATTCAAAAAAGTTAATGTAGTGTGGTGTCTTTGTCGCCTCTTATAAATTTTCTATCCCATTATGAAACAAGATGAAACTATTTTTAGTAATGAGGAGTTTGTTTTGTCGAGACAATGTTGTTGGTTTTGCTATACAATTATCGGTCTTAAACTTTATGACGGCTGTTCTCAACGACAATGCAACTGTCTTATTAAAAATACTTTATCGTTCGCCTGTCCGATGCAGTCAAATTGGGACCTGTCTCAACTACGACAATAATAAATACAGAAGCCAAACGCAATAAATTATTTAAATGTCTCTGTTAGCCGGTCTTTGCAATACGAAAGAGACCAGCACGAGAAAAAAATACACCGATTGTGCCTTTTATGCGATATTTTTTTAGTAAAATAATGATTCTAGAAAACTAGCAAGTCAAATTCTATCAGATTCGAAAATGTCGAAAATTTATAGGGGGCTCGCGGCATAGCCGTTCGCCCCCGTGAACAACACTAATCAGCTTTAGAAATGTTTTGTACCAATTTTGAGGAGCCATACTATCAGATTTTATAATAATATTATCTCTTTAGTATACGTGAATACTCAAATTATAAACCTAAATAGTCAAATACAGGGTGATTTAAAAAAAAACGGCAGGCGCTGTAGAATTTTTTTGGTCTGATTTCAAAAATTAAATCTCATAGTATGTTTTGGGCTATATTCAACTTTCTGATTTTAAAAGGGACACATTTTATTTCATAAAATCTAGTTGCATGGTGTCAATAAAAAAATTGACGTTAACCTTAATCTTTTTAAAATAAACGAAATAAATGAATAAAATAAAATAAATTAA